TCTAACCTAATCTATCCAGACCTAACCTATTAGATATCATATCATAATCTACTGTATCCAAATCTAACAAAAACTAATTGTAAAAGGTAGTTTTAATGTATAGTATGTGACGCTTGTGACGTCACGGACGTGTCTCCCGAGGACCTTCGTGGACCCGCAAAATACCCGAGAAAGCGCAACCTCTCTTTCAGATACTCCGAAAACGCGCAATTATTTATTTATTTATTTATTTATGCATATACAAGAATGTACATAAGGAATGTGAGGATACAATTATGGTAATTACAGTCTTGTAAAGCCACTAGCACGCGCAGCGTTTCGGGCAGGTCCTTAATCTAAGAAAATTTTAAGGAGGTAAATACTTGCAAAATTTATAGACAAAAAAATGATAACAGATTACATGGAATGAAAAAAAAAAAAGATGAGAGAAAATTATAGGTACAGTATATTAAAGCACATAGGTAGCTATGATTGATTGCAATGACAGCTTAAAATGGTAGTTGACAACAAATTGGTGGGCACAATACAGCAGAAACAATATAAGATTGATTGCAATGACAGCTTGAATGGTAGTTGACAAAAATTGGTAGTCACAATACAGCATATGGCTAGCACATAAAAGAAGACAGCAATGAACACAATGATAAGGTTGTTTGATATTACATAAAAATTAGGAGATTGGGTAACACTAGGTACAGAGCAAATTTAAAGCTCAGTGTAGGAAACTAAATAGATGAAGTTAGGTACTTTTTGGTTTTGCTTTTAAATAAGGCAAAAGTTTTACAGTTTTTCAATTCACTAGGGAGTGAGTTCCATAGACTAGGTCCCTTAATTTGCATAGAGTGTTTACACAGATTAAGTTTGACCCTGGGGATATCAAAGAGATATTTATTTCTGGTGTGGTGATAATTATAATTCATAATTATAATTATGAATTAATTTAATTGCGTTGATTAATATAATTATAATATTACTAGAAAGAGAACATTATATTACCTTCCAATACCTTTATTATGCAAATATCTTTAATGAAAACAAAGTTATAATTATATATTTTACCTGAATTTACATGAGGGGCCACTATATCTCTAAGGGCCTCGACCAGGAAAGGAAGCCGGCGGCTTGTCAAAGATCCTCTTATAGCTTCGAAGTATTATTTTCCCAAGTGCATGGATGGTGAAGTGAAGTAATGTGGTGACATTTACAGGTTCCTGGGCCCATGAACTATAGTGCCTCGACCCACAATAATTTGGGTTCAGGGTTCGATTCCCAGACAGAACAGAATTGGATGGGAACATTTTGACCTTTTCTTGACGCCTCTGTTCACCCAGCAGTAAACAGGCACCCTGGAGTTCGTCAGCTGTTGTGGGTTGCAAGGTTCTGGGTTGTAAGGGGCCTGACAGCTGAGTAGACAGCAGTTCAGGATTCGTAGTCCTGAGGTTCCGGGTTCGATCCCCGGTGGAGGCGGAAACAAAATGGGCAGAGTTTCTTTCACCCTAATGCTCCAGTCACCTAGGAGTAAATTCATTTATTTATTTATATATATAAGAGTTGTTACATTCTTGTACAGCCACTAGTACGCGCAGCGTTTCGGGCAATAGGTACTACAGGCTGCTTCCTGCATGGGGATGTGTAATAAAAAGGAGGCCTGGTCGTGGACCGGGCCGCGGGGACGCTAAGACCCGAAATCATCTCAAGATAACCTGCATCCAGGGGGGAGGGAGGGTCAAGGAAACTATCAGAGGAAAATGCCAAGCCAATTACGACTATATAGCACTGGGAAGAGGGGTCAGGATAAGGATTTGGGATGGGATGGGATGGGGGGGGGAAGGAATGGTGCCCAACCACTTGGACGGTCGGGGATTGAACGCCGACCTGCATGAAGTGAGACCGTCGATATACCGTCCAGCCCAAGTGGTTGGGCAGGAGGGAGGGTCAGTAGATCGCCCTTTTTTTGAGGGGGGGGGTGAGAGTTAGAGAGCCCTTGACATAAGACTCAAGTATATACATTAAGTGAGACATTGCTGTTATACCCAGCTGATGGTATGTTTTACGGAGCAGAAAAACAAAACTGCGTGTTGAGCGGTGGCGTCTGTAGGCTTAGAGGAGGTCGTGACCCCTGCTCCCCAACCTCTCATTAATCTAATGGCAGAGGCTACATTTATCTCTGCAATTCTATCCCCAATACTCTGCAGATTCAACTCCATCCTCATTATCTCAATCATAGCATTTCTTGGGCATCCTAAGATAATTCTCATGGCTTCATTTTGTACCTTCTCCAACTTGCCCATCCTACCTTTACCAAAACAAGAAATGACAGGTGCAGCATAATCAATAAGAGATCTTACAGTACTCAAGTATAACATTCGTAGCACAGGGACTCCCACTCCCTTTCCACAGCATGCAAAAGCCTTCAGAGGTTGTAATCTCTTCCGACATTGACCCAACAGTCTATTCATCTCAGCTTCCAAACTCTCATGGGTATATCCAACATATATGCCTAAATATTTATATATATTAACTCTCTCTATATTTTTATCGTTTATTTTCAAAACAACGGGGCTCCGACTTCTACATTCAAACTTAGTTTTGTGTTCATTAACCACCAATCCCATATGGTGACACAGGTTTCCGAAATTGTCCAACACTGTTTGAACCTTTGAAATATCTTTGCCCTGAAACAAAATATCATAGGCATATATGATCGGAGTTACCCCATTTGAGTATCTCTCAGATGCTATCTTATTCATTAGTACATTAAATAGGGTGGGACTCAACACTCCTCCCTGAGGTGTGCCGAGTTCAAAAGACATCACACCTGACATACAACCTTGATACCACACCTGAGCCTTCCTTTCCTAAAGATAATCCCCTATCCAGCGCAATAATCTCCCTTTAACACCAAGACCAGCTAGTTCATATAAAATAACCTCTTTGTTGGCTTTATCAAAAGCTCCCTGTAAATCAATATAAATTCTATAATAATCATTTTCATTAGCTAGACATTTAATAATACAGTCAGAGGTACTGTAGAGGTATGTGAGTAGACATTAACATTACTTATGATGATGAAGATGACGATGAGGATGATGTGGTGTCCACAAATGTGGTGATCTCACTGATGTTAACAACTACAGACCTATATCAATCCTGCCAAACTTGTCAAAAATATTTGAAAAACTAATCTACAAGCAGCTTTACTCTTATCTAGCCAAACACAATATACTTAGCTTCAGACCCCCAAAAAGCACTAACGATGCACTTATTAGTATGATTAACTTGATACATACAGCTCTTGATAAAAATGAGTTCCCTATTGGGTTAATTGTGGACCTGCGTAAGGCTTTTGACACTGTCAACCACCAAAACCTTCTTCTTAAATTACAACATTATGGAGTCAGAGGACACTCCCTGCAGTACTTAAAGTCTTACCTTACTGACAGGCTCCAGTATGTTTCTGTGAATAATTCAATTTCTCCCACCCTACCCATCAACATTGGTGTTCCCCAGGGCAGCATACTTGGCCCTCTCCTCTTTCTCATCTACATTAATGACCTTCCTAATGCCTCCCAACACCTCAAACCAATTCTATTTGCAGACGACACAACCTTCATTTACTCCAGTCCTGACCCCCTTGCTCTAAATGCCACAGTAAATACTGAGCTAAATAAAGTCCATCACTGGCTAACTGCCAACAAACTCACCCTTAATATTGACAAAACTTTCTATATTTTGTTTGGCAATAAATCCTCAAATCAAATAAATCTCATGATTAACAATACCCAAATTTGTAACAAAGTAGATGGCAAATTCCTCGGCGTTCCCATTGACCACAAGCTGAATTTCCAGGGACACATTCTAAATATATCAAAAAAAGTTTCAAAAATTGTTGGCATTCTTTCTAAGATCAGATATTATGTACCCCGCCCTGCCCTGGCGACGCTCTATTACTCCCTCATCTATCCATATCTCAACTATGGTATTTGTGCTTGGGGTTCTACTACCCAAAATAATTTACGTCCTCTAATTACTCAACACAAAGCTGCTATCCTTAAAAGCTTCCTAGAAGGTTGTAACAGATCCCATGAACACCACACCAGAAACAAATACCTATTAGATATTCCAAGAGTGCCACTTAACCAAACTAGAAATACTTTACAAATCAAGGGACCCAGAGTGTGGAATGACCTTCCCAACCATGTTAAAGACTGTACCTCTCTCAACCAGTTTAAGATAAAAACTAAGTACTACCTAATTAACTCAATGTAACCTACCTCACCCCTACATGTCAACCCATGTCTGCGATTTTAAACAATGCTGTTTGTTGACCAAATTGTATTTTTGTTTTTTTTCTGCCATGTTCCCCCCTCCTTTTTTCATTTTTTCTTATTTTTTCTCAACACAATTTATACTTTAATCTCAATTAGTATTAAGTTTCAGTCTTAGTGTTTTTCCTGCCCGAAACGCTATGCGTAATAGTGGCTTTAGGCATTGTATGTACCAGCTCTATCTATAACTCCATCAACTTTTGTATCTCACCTTGTATGTATGTACTTTACCTGAATAAATATTTGTATTTGTATTTGTATTTGTATTTTTGTTGTCAGTGCGAGGTATTGATTCACGAACGCCACATAACATATGAACATAGAATACCATGTTACATATTGGTATACAATTTAATATACAATATACGCATGAAACATCGACCTAGAACTCCTATATGAACTCAAGAGTTAGTATGACTGTAGGAGAAGCCCCGAATAATGAGGATGGGGACTTCCGCCACAACACACACAGGCTGCCTGTCCTTCATAAACCACCAGAACAAATGCCGAAACCTTTGACAAGCCGTCGGCTTCATGTCCTCGTCGAGGCTACTAAAGACAAGGAGATCCTCAGGCAAAATCCAGTACAAAAACAATAAAATAATAGTAATAATAGTTCACGTCTAATTTAGCTAAGCTACTCATTAATTCAGGCGTTAGGGCAACGTTTTCTATGAAGGAGTCGACCAAGATGTCGGAACAATAGTGTCACCCTCACACCCTCACTCTCCTCACCCTGGCCACCCTCACGCCTCACCCTGGCCACCCTCACCACGGAGAAGCGTAAACACAGTGCCAGAGGACCTGGATGAAGCAGGATGGGGGCCATAACGAGCAGGCAGAACGCTGGCGTCGAGGAGGTGGACATTGGGGTTAATCACGCCTACAAGTACCCCCCTAAGTCGGGTGAGCATCCCCCCCCTACACCCTAGTGGTCTTCCTGGCACCCTAGTGGCCCTCTTGGCACCCCTAGTGGCTCTTCTGGCACCCCTACTACCCTGCCAGGCACCCTACTGCCCTGCCAGGCACCCTACTGCCCTGCCAGGCACCCTACTGCCCTGCCAGGCACCCTACTGCCCTGCCAGGCACCCTACTGCCCTGCCAGGCACCCTACTGCCCAGCCAGGCACCCTACTACCCTGCCAGGCACCCTACTGCCCAGCCAGGCACCCTACTGCCCAGCCAGGCACCCTACTACCCTGCCAGGCACCCTACTACCCTGCCAGGCACCCTACTACCCTGCCAGGCACCCTACTGCCCTGCCAGGCACCCTACTACCCTGCCAGGCACCCTACTACCCTGCCAGGAACCCTACTGCCCTGCCAGGCACCCTACTACCCTGCCAGGAACCCTACTGCCCTGCCAGGCACCCTACTACCCTGCCAGGCACCCTACTACCCTGCCAGGCACCCTACTGCCCTGCCAGGCACCCTACTGCCCAGCCAGGCACCCTACTGCCCTGCCAGGCACCCTACTACCCTGCCAGGCACCCTACTACCCTGCCAGGCACCCTACTGCCCTGCCAGGCACCCTACTACCCTGCCAGGCACCCTACTGCCCTGCCAGGCACCCTACTACCCTGCCAGGCACCCTACTACCCTGCCAGGCACCCTACTGCCCTGCCAGGCACCCTACTGCCCAGCCAGGCACCCTACTGCCCTGCCAGGCACCCTACTACCCTGCCAGGCACCCTACTACCCTGCCAGGCACCCTACTGCCCTGCCAGGCACCCTACTACCCTGCCAGGCACCCTACTACCCTGCCAGGCACCCTACTACCCTGCCAGGCACCCTACTGCCCTGCCAGGCACCCTACTGCCCTGCCAGGCACCCTACTACCCTGCCAGGCACCCTACTGCCCAGCCAGGCACCCTACTGCCCTGCCAGGCACCCTACTGCCCAGCCAGGCACCCTACTGCCCTGCCAGGCACCCTACTACCCTGCCAGGCACCCTACTGCCCAGCCAGGCACCCTACTACCCTGCCAGGCACCCTACTACCCTGCCAGGCACCCTACTGCCCAGCCAGGCACCTTACTGCCCAGCCAGGCACCCTACTACCCTGCCAGGCACCCTACTACCCTGCCAGGCACCCTACTACCCTGCCAGGCACCCTACTGCCCTGCCAGGCACCCTACTGCCCAGCCAGGCACCCTACTGCCCTGCCAGGCACCCTACTACCCTGCCAGGCACCCTACTGCCCAGCCAGGTACCCTACTACCCTGCCAGGCACCCTACTGCCCTGCCAGGCACCCTACTGCCCTGCCAGGCACCCTACTGACCCTACTAGCACCCTACTGCCCTGCCAGGCACCCTACTGCCCTGCCAGGCACCCAACTGACCCTACTAGCACCCTACTGCCCTGCCAGGCACCCTACTGCCCTGCCAGGTACCCTACTGCCCTGCCAGGCACCCTACTGCCCTGCCAGGCACCCTACTGCCCAGCCAGGTACCCAACTGACCCTACTAGCACCCTACTGCCCTGCCAGGTACCCTACTGCCCTGCCAGGCACCCTACTGCCCAGCCAGGTACCCAACTGACCCTACTAGCACCCTACTGCCCTGCCAGGCACCCTACTGACCCTACTAGCACCCTACTGCCCTGCCAGGCACCCTACTGCCCTGCCAAGCACCCTACTGCCCTGCCAGGTACCCAACTGACCCTACTAGCACCCTACTGCCCTGCCAGGCACCCTACTGACCCTACTAGCACCCTACTGCCCTGCCAGGCACCCTACTGCCCTGCCAGGCACCCTACTGCCCTGCCAGGCACCCTACTGACCCTACTAGCACCCTACTGCCCTGCCAGGCACCCTACTGCCCTGCCAGGCACCCTACTGCCCTGCCAGGCACCCTACTGACCCTACTAGCACCCTACTGCCCTGCCAGGCACCCTACTGACCCTACTAGCACCCTACTGCCCTGCCAGGCACCCTACTGCCCTGCCAAGCACCCTACTGCCCTGCCAGGTACCCAACTGACCCTACTAGCACCCTACTGCCCTGCCAGGCACCCTACTGACCCTACTAGCACCCTACTGCCCTGCCAGGCACCGTACTGCCCTGCCAGGCACCCTGCTGACCCTACTAGCACCCTACTGCCCTGCCAGGCACCCTACTGCCCTGCCAGGCACCCTACTGCCCTGCCAGGCACCCTACTGCCCTGCCAGGCACCCTACTACCCTGCCAGGCACCCTACTACCCTGCCAGGCACCCTACTGTCTTGCCAGGCAACCTGCTGACCCTACTAGCACCCTACTGCCCTGCCAGGCACCCTGCTGACCCTACTAGCACCCTACTGACCCTGCCAGGCACCCTGCTGACCCTACTAGCACCCTACTGACCCTGCCAGGCACCCTGCTGACCCTACTAGCACCCTACTGACCCTGCCAGGCACCCTACTGCCCTGCCAGGCACCCTGCTGACCCTACTAGCACCCTACTGACCCTGCCAGGCACCCTGCTGACCCTACTAGCACCCTACTGCCCTGCCAGGCACCCTGCTGACCCTGCCAGGCACCCTACTGACCCTGCCAGGCACCCTGCTGACCCTACTAGCACCCTACTGACCCTGCCAGGCACCCTGCTGACCCTATTAGCACCCTACTGACCCTGCCAGGCACCCTACTGACCCTACTAGCACCCTACTGACCCTGCCAGGCACCCTACTGACCCTACTAGCACCCTACTGACCCTGCGAGGCACCCTGCTGACCCTACTAGCACCCTACTGACCCTACTAGCACCCTACTGACCCTGCCAGGCACCCTGCTGACCCTACTAGCACCCTACTGACCCTGCCAGGCACCCTGCTGACCCTACTAGCACCCTACTGACCCTGCCAGGCACCCTACTGCCCTGCCAGGCACCCTGCTGACCCTACTAGCACCCTACTGACCCTGCCAGGCACCCTGCTGACCCTACTAGCACCCTACTGACCCTGCCAGGCACCCTGCTGACCCTACTAGCACCCTACTGACCCTGCCAGGCACCCTACTGACCCTACTAGCACCCTACTGACCCTGCCAGGCACCCTGCTGACCCTACTAGCACCCTACTGACCCTGCCAGGCACCCTACTGACCCTACTAGCACCCTACTGCCCTGCCTGTAGGGCTATCCCATGCAACTCTCAGTAACAATACAGTATTCTTTAGGGTCAAATAATTGCAAGTGGGAATTGTGGCACCCTTCGTGTTCATAGTTGCCAAGTCTTCACATGCACTAAAGTCTTCTTTAACTCTTAGACTGCACAATACATACATATATGATTTTACATAAAATAATTTAACATAAGTTTTTTAAACTTGCACAATCACTTTCCAATTTTTTTTGCATAATCAACTAGGCAAATGCTCCAACTTTGTCTAAGTGATCGCAGTGAAACTTGAAAAGCAAGAGAATCAAAGTTAATTTTAAAATTGAATGTTGAAAACTTCAGATTTTCAATTCGGAATAAAAAATATGAACTCTCACCAATTGCTCATTTAATGTTATTATTCTCTCAGAATAGCATATGATCTTCACTTTCATCAAATTAGAATATAGGTTTTCAGTATAGTTTACTGTAAAAAAAATCGTCAATAGAGCATTTGAAATATGCGGTAAATTTAGACCAAAATATATTATACCTCCAAGTGTGTAAAGTTTATGAAAAATGCATTCTGATGGGATTGTAGAACAGACAGCTGAGCACACAATATGTCAAAATGTGAGAATCGATCAAAAATTTGAATTTTAGAAGCCACTCAAAATTGAAACTCTAGTTTCAGAGATAATTGAAGTTGAAGTTATCAGCAATGAATAAAGGTAGTTTTAATTTGTTAATTTAATTGTATGTTTTAATAAACATTGTTTGGCATTCGTACTTGAATATGTGAAAGTTGTAGGTCAATATGTGTTGAAATGAAGTCAAGAAAAATACCCCCCCCCCCAAAAAAACACAAAATATAGGGATCATTATAATAATTATAATGATTTAGGGGATATATTTAGAGTATACTTTATATAAGTGAAAAAGCCCTAATATGGTCCCTATTCATCAAAACAACCTAAAGAGACAAAGAAAATAGAGTTTGAAATCAGAGAAAAACTCTGCCAAAAATAATTAAAAGTCCCAAGTTTTGCGAGTTGTGACTGATTTATTTGTTGAGCAATTTCATTCTATCTTGACATAGTTAAGAAAATATATGCATTCTCCAGGATGTAAAGTTACAACAAAATGACATAATAAACAAAGGAGAAAAAAAACTAAAACCTTAAGAAAAAAAATTTCCCCTAAAAAAATATTTTTGGGACATTGATGAAAGTAACATATATTACCATTGGACAATGTATTTATATGATATACAGCAAAATAGAGCATATTAACATAATAAATAACTATAATTTATGTTTATTATGTATTACTCAGCAATGATATAAAGGCACCAACTGCATATCCACTTTGTGGACACTTCTTGCTACTATTCGTCTTCTTTGTGTGCCGGACAGGTGCTTGCATCTCTTTATTACTGCATTATCCTTCAGTTCAATTTATTAATAGCTGTTCTTATCAACAAAGCGTTCTTATGTAATGGATAACTGCCCGAAACGCTTTGCGTAATAGTGGCTTTAGGCATTGTATGTACTAGCTCTATCTATAAAGCCAACAAACTTTGTAAATCTCTTTATGTATGTACCTTACCTAAATAAAGATTATTATTATTATTATTATTATTATTATTATTTTTTTAAAATTCGTTTAAAATTAATTTCTGAAAATATTTTGATGAAAGTTTCACGACACTGAAGCCAATGAGTTAGAGATTGGTTTAAGATTTTTAAGTTATTTTTACATAATTCGAATATGTTTCGCTAATATACTCCCCAATATGCGCGGTAATATATGCGGTCTAAGGGTTAATTCTTCATTAAGAATTTTGACATTATTATGTAACTAGCTGTACCCGGCCACGCGTTGCTGTGGCTCAGCAATGCACGTGCGTTGCTGACCCACAGCAACCGTTCCCTGTCTCCAATTCTCCCCACCATTCCCCCTCCCCTGTCCCCTTGTCCTCCCAATCATTCCTCAGTCCCCTCGTTCTCCCACCCATTCCCCATCCCCCCGTCCTCCCCACTATCCCCCCCCTCTCTTGTCCTTTTGTTCTCCCCATCATCCCCCATTCCATCGTCCTCCTAACCATTCCCCCTTCCCCTGTCCCCTCATCCTCCCCCACCATCCCCCACTCCCGTTCCCTCATCCTCCCACCCCCCCCATTCGCCACTCTTTTGTCCGATGCATTCCCAAATGATCTGATGTTCCTATCAGAAAATTGGGAACAATAAATGATCTGATGTCATCACTGAAATATAAGAAAAACACTTTAAAAAAATGAAATGATAAACAATGAAAAAATTAAATAATATGCTCTACTTAGGAAATGAACGGTATGGTAAACAACACAGCTCAATTCCAATGCAATGTCACATAAAATAATTAAATCAAAATGAAAATAAATCGATACCTATGAAAATTCAATTTATCAATGCAATCGGAAACATTGAAATGGAATCATAACATATTTAGTATAGCGTGCATTGTTATTATGGGCAACAGATGGTGCTGTTTTAAAAAAAAAAAAAAAAAAATTTTTACCTGTCACAGGTGTGGCATCTATATAGTAGTTATATAAAAACGCGCGTATTTGAATGGAACGTTGTCAAAATTTCAAAGCAATCAGTGAAGAACTTTCAGAGATTACAGTGTGTATTGCCCTTACGACCAACAGATGGAGCTGTTTTTCGAAAAAAAAAACATGTGTTTTCTTGTCACAGGTGAAGCATGTACTGTATATAGAAGGCATATAAAAGCACATGCCTATTCGAATGCAACATTATGTCAAAATTTCAAAGCAATCGGTAAAGAGGTTTCAAAGATTTCCCTCACATAAAAAAAACACATGAAAAACACAGTTTAAAAAAAAAAGCATGTTTTTACCGGTTAAAGATGTGACATCTATTTAATATGTACAGTATATAAGAACCAGCTCGGATGCGGATGGAATGTTGTGTGAAAATTTCAAAGCAATCAGTGAAGAACTTTTGAAGATTAGTGTGATGAGTTGTGGTATCGCAGCTATACTGAACCAAGATGGTATGGCTCTCACGCACATAAATAAAAAAAAAATGCTGCTATTGGCCTTGCAGTGTGCAAGTCGCAGGCAGAAACAAATGAAAACCATCAAATAAATAATTGAAACAATTTACTGAAATATTAATGAACAAAATGACACCTGGGAATACTTGGCTATTATTATATAACAAATAAAATGTAAAGTAAATGAAAGTTTAACTCTAATACAACACAAAAATATACTGGTGCTGAAGACAACTACCATACCACCACAGCATCCAGCATACGACGTTGGCTGAAGACAGACAGCGTTGCATGTCGTAGCTCAGTCAGTTAAGACAGAGTCTGGGATGCTCTCGGACGAGGTTTGTGCCTCGGAGAGGCTGCAGGATCCAGTAAGTTCAGTAGAACTTCGGTTTCAACTCCTTTTGACCATGTCGTAGCTCAGTCGATTAAGACAGCGTCTGGGATGCTCTCAGACGCAGGTTCGAATCCTCGTCATGGCCCTTGTGGATTTGTTCATTTGATGCATCACGCAATTGTGATTTCTGTGTGTAATGAAGTAAGGGCGAAGAGGGAGAACGGCCTATTGACATAGCTTGAGTGCATGGGGGAGTTGTGTAAAACCCTGGTTTGTGCCTCGGAGAGGCTGCAGGATCCAGTAAGTTCAGTAGAACTTCGGTTTCAACTCCTTTTGACCATGTCGTAGCTCAGTCGATTAAGGCAGCGTCTGGGATGCTCTCGGATGCAGGTTCGAATCCTCGTCACGGCCCTTGTGGATTTGTTCATTTGATGCATCACACAATTGTTATTTCTGTGTGTAACTAAGGGAGAGACTGCCTCTCTAGTTGTTCAAGATTCGCTACCTGGAACAAAAAGTTCCAAGTAGCACGGGCTATGGTGAGCCTTTTTTTTTGGGGGGGGGGCTCTCTAGGGAGGCAGCGCCCGTTATACTGTATAGTCCGGCGGTGATGACTCAGTGTCAACGCAAGGTGGACATCTGGTCAACTAGCAAACTGCTCGTTTGTGGCTGGCGGTGCCTTTGTTTTGAGCTGCACCACTGTCAGTTGAAGGCAGCTAACTGCTTGTTTGTGGGGGACAAACTACCAGTTAGCAGAGGCACCCGGCTTGCCTCTGAGTCGTACCAGGCCGTGCCAGGCCCTGGGGGGTATGGAGAGGTGGCAGGACTGATGACTCATCTGGGCTGGTGTAGATATATACTTCCAGTGCAGAGGCATTGAAGGTGAAGGGGAAAGGCAGTTCCACTGCTATGCAGGGGATTCACGTGACATTAGTGATTTTGAACAAACGAACATTTACATTTATATTTATATACTGTACTGTAGATAAGTTATTATAGTAATATAATAAAATTTTTCTTATCTTGTAATTCCAGGAAATTACTTCAGCAGTCATTTTATCATGGGTGGGGAACGGTTTGAAACGGCCCTGCCTGAGATGTATCTCTTCGGGGAGAACATGGATGTCAACTTCTTGGGATCACGTCCCGCACCTGTAAGTTTGTGTTAAGACTGATGTTCCATTTTTGCATTCATGTCGTTTATTTGCAAATGTATATATTTTCAGTCGCTGCCTGATTAATACCCAATCCACATGTGGTAAGAAAAGACAGTGGCGACTTGATGTGTTTCCAGCTATAGGAAGGATGTAGAATAAAGTTCCTGGATGGACCAAAATGTTATTCCTTTTATGTGTGTGGATTGGGCGTTAATTTCCAGCCACATTATTGTGGCTCATTACACACACAAATCACAATAACATGATGCATCAAATGAACAAAAATTTTGTTCATTTGATGCATCACGCTATTGTGATTTCTGTGTAATGAAGTAATGGCGAAGAGGGAGAACGGCTTATTGACATAGCTCGAGTGCAGGGGGGAGTTGTGTAAAACCTTGGTTTGTGTCTCGGAGAGGCTGCAGGATCCAGTAAGTTCAGTAGAACTTCGGTTTCAACTCTTTTTTGACCATGTCGTAACTCAGTCGATTAAGGCAGCGTCTGGGATGCTCTCGGACGCAAGTTCGAATCCTCGTCACGACCCTTGTGGATTTGTTCATTGTGGCTCATTCTCTGCACTGTATCGCTAGGATACAAGTGTAACTGTTATTGAGTTCTGTGAAGGGATTTGCAGGGCAGAGCTCCATCAGTTACCTGTACAGAAATTTCACTAACAAAAAAGCGAAGAATTTCTGAAGCATTATGGTATTTCTTTTATGACTGGAAGCGAGAGTTCTTCTATACTTCCTTAGGAAATTAAATGAAATTTAACTACGCTCTTAAAAACTGCAACGTTGGTAATGATGCTTTGAAATACATTTATTAGAAGCTAAGGGTTGCTGTACCCAGGCTGAAGTTGGCAACTAGCTTGGCCGTAATTAATCTGCAGTATTAAAGTCACTATTTAATGTAAATAATTATAAAGTCATTATTTTAGATAAACATCATGCTTGATACACAACACGACACACTTATTTAACGTAGTTAGTTCTTATACTAGTATACACCTAGTTGTATTTGCCTAGTTGTGCTTGTATAGGTTGAGCTTTGGCTCTTTGGTCCTACCTCTTGACTGTCAATCAACTGGTGTACAGGTTCCTGAGCCTATTCTGTTATATCATATCAACATTTGAAACTGTGTATGAAGTTAGCCTCCACCACTTCATAATGTATTCCATTTCTTAACTACCCTGACACTAAAATAGTTCTTGCTAATATCTCTGTGGCTCATTTGGGTACTACGTTTCCACTTGCGTCCCCATGTTCGTGTTCCGACCATGCTAAATGATTCGGCTTTATCCTGTCAATTCCTCTGAGAATTTTGTAGGTGGTGATCATGTCTTCCCTAACTCTTTGTGTCTTCCAGGGAAGTGAGGCTTAATTCTCATAACCTTTCCTCGTAACTCATACCTCTCGGCCATGGGACTAATCTGGTGGCATATGTCTAAATCTTTTCTAATTTTGTCTTTTGTTTAGTATGGACTTCAGGCTGGAGCTGCATACTCCAGGATTGGTCTGACATATGTTTATACAATGTTCTGAATGATTCCTTATGCAAGTTTCTAAAGTTGGTTCTTATGTTGGCTGATCTAGCATATGCCGCTGATGATAGTGTATGTTAAACTGTGTAAAAAAAATGAAAATGAGAACTGTAAAGAAGCTTGGTGTTGGCAGACAGGAGCAGTGTATAACACTCCTACGTCCAGTATTACTGTCTAGCACAGTGGTCTACATCCTCGACTTACACTCAGTCCCTGGGCAAAATAGAAATGGTTTGGCACATTTCCTTTCGCTTGATGCTTCTGTTCACTTAGATGTAAATAAGTACAGTACCTGGGAGTTTATCAACTGTTATAGGTTGTATCTTGGAAAGGCCAGTAGATGGCCTAAAGCAGTGCTTACTAACCTTTTGAACTTGTGGCCCTATTTTCTAATACTCAAAAAACTTGTAACCCCTCCCCCCCTCTCCCTCCTGCTACACTTTTATAAAAGAAAAAATATCCTAATCGGGACATCTGTCACTTGCTAATACAGTACTCAATGATTCAGATATACAGTACTATACAAATACTCGGAATTTAGTTTCTACAGCCCACCAGAAAACATTTCATTGACCTGCCTTGGGGGATCAGGGCCTACTGGTTTGGAGCCACTAGCCTAAAGGGAAAAATATGAGCCTAACAGACTTCTTGTCCACAACAACGGAAAACATACAGTGGATACCATATAGGTACTGCAGTAGTCTTTGTCTAATCACCTCTGCCATGTTATCTATCATACATCGAACATTAACCCCTTAACTGTGCCAGCCAACAAAAGTCGTTCCGGGAGTTGTGTTTTTTTTTTTTTAATTAGGCTATATTTTAATATTTTTTAATGTTTTTATCACTCTGTCTTTTGAAATGAAAATAGTTGAGTTTGGAAACATTTTGACATTAACTTTATCTGAACATTTATAAAAACAACAAAAATTTGTCCTTAACAATTGCACTATGAAGTTTTTGCCAAAAACAGGTGCGCAGTGCAGGGGTTAAGTCCACTATCACCTGTCCCCATAGTTTGGCGTATCTGAAGTTATTCCATGTGTGTACCAAGAGCCATTTCCATCTTTAAACTGTTCATTGTGTCACTAATTTGAACACAATTACGTAATAAAAATGTTATGTAAGTTGAACGTTAAAAAGCATAATTTCTTATTTTTCCTTATATTTTGTTTATCAATGTACTGGATATAAAATCAACACTTTCGAGAAGGCACAATTATTTTATCAGAATATGATTAAAAATGGCCATAATTCCACCAAATTTGGAATGGTCAGCAGCTCATAGATTATTATATTAAACTTAAGGGCAACTCAGGCGGAAATTGTTGTTTCTCAAGCTGCATAAAGAATTGTCATGAAAATTTTGACTTGGTTAAAAATGGAAGTTTCAAGATATTTGATAAAAAAAAATAATTTAAAACATTAGGCTCAGTTTCTTTATCAGAGTGATGGCCTATTAGGGGTCTCCATGGCGTCTCATCCTGAAGGCCCGTGGACAGTACGTGATGACACCAAGGAAAACGATACCTTCCCAGCTCCTATAGGGCCAATGCGAAAACAGGTATTTAATATGCAAAACACATGCGTCTGACGTTTTAGCTCGTACAAATCCATTTAGAAAGAGATGAGAAAGTTTCGCATTAACCATTTCAAGCAAAATATAACCTTCCTGAGTTGGAAGAATTTTTTTTGCTGAGAGGCATTCACAGACTTGGCCTGTTTACAAGTGTAAAATTACCTTAAACTTACACAGTATTACATATGTATTGATTCTATAAAGTTCTATCATTTCATTTCGTTTTCTTGGTGGGTTTAATAGTTTTACAATATACGTAATGGACAGTTGCTGCTTTTTTTACCCCTTCCCCGAGTAACAAATCCTAATCGCCATAGATTTATTCTCTGTACTTAATTCATTCTGACAAACTGAGAGCATTCTTATTTAAGTTTGACATTATCAACCAGGATAAACCATCTACGAAATCATTGAAAATGCCTCGCACGTTGAACGCACGGAGAGCTAAACCCAGAGAACCCAAAAGATGAGCCACCTGCAGCATCCAGCACCACGGAGTAGGATCGAAGAGACCCTTATGGTTCAAGCAATGAGCTACTAAGGAGCAGTTAAGAGTGGAGCCGGAGCATGCAGTCCAGAGGAAGCTGAATCGTCTGTAATGCTTACCACACAGCTGTGAACACGCATACCATGCTCTGCATCTGAAGAAACTGACTCGATCACCGACCCGTGAGGCCTGGTTAGCACTTGTCACAAAACCCCAACCCAGAGCTGGTGTGTGTGTAAATACATTGAGTGACTGAGCTGGAAGGAGCCACGGAACCGGATCCCGTGGGATCCGGTGAAGGGCAGCTGGGGCCCAAACCCAACAGTTGCTGCAGTGGCAAAATGGGTGGAACCGGAGAAACTGGCACACAGCCCTGAGCCAAATTGCCCAATGGAAAAACCACACAGGCAATATTTAGGCTCCCACACAGCTGCTCTACCAAATGCCAAGTCATCCAGGGCTGGTTCAAAACCAGATGGCAAGAGAGCTGTAAGCAGAGCTAGGCTGAAAAAGGCAGGGAAAGAAATGTCGATTGAAAACAATTCCTTGGATAGTTTCCGCTTAGCTTAGAAGTACTTGGACCTGCCGCAAAAGGTGTCTGGAGTATTACTGCAATGCTCTAAGCAGCACATCAGCAACAGAACTAAGGTGTGAGCTGATGGACGACCCAGCTCCTAGCCATCTGGTGGTGGCAATTAGTACTAACAGTTCTAGCTAGTTTCAAGTGAAATATATAGTTTTGATTGAATCGTTTGAGGGGAGCTGTTTGGCAGTTCCAAGGCTTCGAGTCTTGTGAACTCAGCAGTTGTCTGTAAAGCTGCACTGATTTTTCTAGATGCTTTTCCAATTAAATAAAATGTCACTGGATCTCTGTGCCTGTGTGAGGGGACCAGGTTCTGGCTCTGATCCTCAGTAGGCTTGTAGTATAGAGCAATCTGGGTGAGATAACTACCAAGAGTCTCCATGGAGCTCCTTAGGAAAGTTCATTGTAAAAATCCTATGATGATAAAATCCCCATAGACATAAAGTCATGAGATTAAAATGATTACATCTACCCATCTACTATAAAACTGAGGGCAATGTCATAGCCAAACCGCGAGCTACGTCCCTCTTCTCCCACCCCCCCTGCCCTTGACCCCCATTTTTTTTTATTTATACAGTGGTGACTCGATTACCGAGTTTAATCCATTCCGGCACCGAGCTCGTCACGTGGAAAGCTTGTCTTGTGAAACAACAACAAAATTGTCGTCGGAGGTGTCTGACAACCAGCGGAAACGCTCGTTAATCGAGGGAAAGCTTGTCAGTTTTAACATATTTTCTGCGAGTGGCTTGCTCGTTACTCGAAATGCTCGTAACTGGAGCTGCTTGTCACCCGAGGTTCCACTGTGACAACATAACAAGAGTTATGTTGTACAGCCACTAGCATGCATAGCGTTTCGGGCAAGTCCTTAATCCTACGTTCCCCGGAATACGACCCGCCAAATTGTTTAACAACCAGGTACCCATTTTACTGTTGGGTTAAACAGAGGCTACAGTTAAGGATTTGCGTCCGGTAAATCCTTCCTGGGCAGGTTACGAACCCAGGACAAGCGCTCGCGAAACACCAGGCGAGCGTCTTACCACTACGCCACAGCAAATGAGCGGGGAAGGTGAGGCAAATAAGCTGAAGCTAGTTTTGAAACTTTTTGATCATTTGTTTACATCGTTGGGGAGTTCTGGCAGTTCATGAAGCTATCATCTCTTCTGTAGCGAGATGTGGCTTATTTTGTCTCGCCGACTTTCTGGGGGCTTTTTCCTGAGGGTGGCATAAATCAAGAAAGACAACTATATTCCATTCACCTGGGCTATAGGAGATTCGAACCATGGACCCCACTCGTGTAAGGCCAAAGCTCGATTGACCGAGCTATTGAGTAGTCTTAATAAGGAAAGTTTCCAGAACTTTCCAGTTTCCAGTTTTAAATAATAATATAAATGCCACTGCTCCTTGTGCCTCTGTGAAGAGGGGGGGTTCAGGCTCTGGCTCTTGGTCCTTAGTAGGGCCTAGAACTCCATGGCTGATGTGACCCGGCTGATGGTACACTATCAGTACTCTCTCTCTCCAGCCGTGGTCGTATAGGGCACTGACCCCGTAGAAAGATGAAGATTATATATTGTATACAGTGGTACCTCGGCTTACGAATTTAATCCGTTCCCAGAGATGGTTCGTAAGCTGAAAATTCGTAAACTGAAGCAAATTTTTCCACAAGAAAAAATGTAAATTGAATTATCTGTTCCACACTCCCCAAAAAATTAACTTCAAAGTAAATTTTATACCTAATTCATCCAAATCATTAGTACTAAAGTATGTACAAGTTATTGCTTACCTTTATTGATGACTCTTGTTGGTGTATGGAAAACAGTGAAGAGGGGGGGGGGGGGGAGGAGAGGTGTTAGTGTTTAGAAGAGAAATCCCCTTCCATTATAACATCAGGCAGTGATGACTTCTCTGGGGGTACACTCTGGCACATTTTCCCTGCATACCACTAGGACCTGTTTGTGGCTCATTAATTGTTTTTCTCACTAAAAACCTGTCTAGTGACACTTGTTTTTCCCTACATTGTAACACTTGTCTGAAGTGAGACATCACATTGTCATTAAAAAGGATAACACAACGGTCTACTACAGCTTGCTCTGGGTAAATTAATAACAACTTTTCAACATCCTCAAGTGTTTGTGTTCTTTGTTTTGTGATTGTTGATGCATCTTTTGCCACTTTAGCACTCATGTCCTTTTTCTTAGCAATTACAGTGCATATCATTGACATTGCTTTGTTGTACTGCCTAGCTAGTTCAACAACCTGTGTACCATTTTCATGTTTAAGAATGATCTCTTGTTTTTCCTCTATGGTCGTCCTCACATGTGTTTTCTTGGCTTGAACCTTACCACTGGCTTTCTTAGGACCCATGGCAAGATATATAATAATAACTTTTATGTTCAAATACCCAAAAATCCGAAAAACACTGAAATTCTTTATAAAGAATTCAGGCGCGATTGTCACTAGGCGGAAGGTACTGGTAAACTGAGGCTCGGTCGCCGTACCACCTTGCGCTAGGTCGGTCATACGACATCAACAAACTTTGTTTCCCGAGGCAAAGTTCGTAACCCGATTTGGATTTTACAAAGAAATTGGGCTCGTAACCCAAAAAGTTTGTAAAGAGGGGCATTCGTAAGCCAAGGGGGTCACTGTACTAGCTTCATGGAGTCACTGGTAGCTCGCCCAGAAATTGGTTTTTCATTACACTCGTTCAATTTTTATTTTTAATAACCTATTACTACAAATCAACACTATTGTAAGGAAATATTTGCCGTATCATGGGTTCGATGCCTTCGTCCTTTTGCATCTCAACAGCTTCCCTTGTATGGCCTCAGTATTTTCTCATAGATAAATGATGTTCTTGTTATTTCATTATTGTAATACTACTACAGTGGAACCTCGAATAACGAATTTAATCCGTTCCTGCACCGAGCTCGTTATGTGAAACGCTCGTCTTTCAAAATGAATTTCCCCATTTAAAATAACGGAAATCAAATTAATCTGTTCTACCACCGTAAAAGATGAATACTGTATGATATTCGATGTTTTAAATAATGGAGCAACCTACCTTGCATACACTGAACAAACCTTTATGACATTTTTCTTTCATCAAATTTGCTCAATTTTTTTTTTCATTTTTTTATAGCCAAAGGTTCGTTCGGTGTTTGTCAGGTAGGCTGTTCCATGTTTCTTAAAAAAAAAAAATTTAATTTTTTTTTTAAATTTTGAAAAACGGACAAATACCATAAAGGTTTGTTCAGTGTTTGTCGGGTAGGATGCTCCCTAATGACAATTTTTCTCTTGTTTCAAATGTGTTCAATTTGTTTTGTATTTTTCATTTATTAATAATGGAGCAGCCTACCCGACAAACACCGAACAAACCTTTATGGCATTTGTCCGTTTTTCAAATTGTTTAAATTTTTTTTTTTAATAAGAAACATGGAGCAGCCTACCTGACAAACACCGAACGACCCATTTTGACATTTGTTCTGTTTTTCAAAATTTTCTCTTTTTTTTTTGTTCTTTAAAAATAAGTCAATGCTTTGCAATATCACATCAGTCACCCCTTTACATCCCATCATCATTAGCATCTTTAAACATTTGCATCGTCGGAGGCGTCTGAGAATGTGCGAGAAGCAGCAGGAACACATCATGTGGTTTTCTCGTTAATCAAACAAGTGCTCGCTAATCGAGACAAATTGTCGGCGATCGGCGCCGTTATCTCATTATTCAAATTGCTCATAAATTGAGGCGCTTGTCACACGAGGTTCCACTGTACTATGATGGTGTATAATTTGCCTTTCTAATAATTTAATAACATATTGGAAATAATAAAAGTATACTGTAAACTGATTAGGACATGTTCCAAAATTGTAAATTCGTGCCCATTATGCACCAGCAGTGTTGTACTGTACTTGAGACATCATAAAGAATCCCCTTTATGATACAAGATATTCCTCAAGGACATTATGTCTGATATGTTATTGATGAGATGGTTCATTCGCTTTGAGCATCAGAGGCTTGAACTCAGGCCTCAGAAGTGATGTCCAACTGATGTCCTCAGACTGATGTCCAACTGACCAGGCTGTGGATGCTTACAATAAGGAAGGTTCTCATATTGTGAGGATCCATGGCTTAACTGGTAGGACAATGGTCATGTATTTTTGAGTCCCAAGTTTGAGCCTCCGATGACCCCAGTGAATGAATTATTATTACCTACACTGTTGTGGATTGTATCGTATTGATGAAATATGCTTGTTAATTAACTCTAATAATAATTTTCAGTTTCCATATCCAGCACCGACTGCAAACGAGCCAAGCAAAACGTTGAAAGCGCTTATTAACATAAGAAAGGAAAGTTTACGATTTGTGCGCGCGCCTGATGAATCGGCTACCCTAAAGGAACCAGATGACACCACCGCAGTATCCAGATTTAACATAGAATTCACGTTTGATTGTGATGTGCGTTGTGCCATTACCATCATGTACTTCTGCTCGGAAGACATCACAACAAGTGGCATGATGTAAGTACAGAAGTGTCATGTGGAATTAGTTTTAATCCTTACAACTCTTTCATGGTTTCTCCCCCACGCCTTTGTGTTGTGTCTCCCTTCATAAAATCATTTGTGGATCTGACTCTTTTTAACATGTCTTGTGTCTTTGTACGCTCATTCTGGCATCCTGAATGGTAGTTAGGAATTTATTCTGTGGCACAGATGGTGGCACAGTATACAGAGGTACCTTGGTTTTCGAATTTAATCCCTGTTCCCAGAGACGGGTCATAAGCTGAAAATTCACAACGCGAAATGAATTTTTCCATAACAAATAATGTAAATTGAATTAATCCGTTCCACACTACCAAAAATATTAACTTCTAAATACATTTCAAACATAATACACACAAATATTTTGTACTATAGTATGTACAAATTATAGCTTGCCTTTATTGATGACTCTAGGATATAGGGAGCCGGTCAGCCGAACGGACAGCACACTGGATTTGTGATCCTGTGGTCCCGGGTTGATCCCGGGCGCCGGCGAGAAACAATGGGCAGAGTTTCTTTCACCCTATGCCCCTGTTACCTAGCAGTAAAATAGGTACCTGGGTGTTAGTCAGCTGTCACGGGCTGCTTCCTGGGGGTGGAGGCCTGGTTGAGGACCGGGCCGCGGGGACACTAAAGCCCCGAAATCATCTCAAGATAACCCCGTCCATTATAACATCAGGCAGTGATGACCTCTCTGGGGTACTCTCTCCCCTACGTTTTGCAGAAGTACCACTAGGACTTGGTTGTGGGTCTCTGCTTGCTTGTCTTACTAAGAATATGTCTAAAGACATTTGTTTTTCCCTACATTTTAACACTTGTCTGTAGTGAGACATGACATTGTCATTTAAAAGGTCAATGCAACGGCCTGTTACAGATTTATCTGGGTAAGTTTTCAACAAAATTTTGCAGTTCTTCCCATACTTCACACATGTTCTTAATGAGGAAAGGACATCCTCTACTGCCTCTACTCACAACTATTTTCTTAGGTTGAACCTTACCACTGACTTTCTTGGGACCCATGGTGTGATTATATATCATAATTATTTTTATGTTCAAAAACCAAAAAGGCAGAAAAAATGAAATTATTTACAAATAAATCAAGCAGGATCGTCACTAAGTGGGCGGCTTGACTAAATTGAAGCGGGGTCGCCCGTACCACCAGGGACCACGCACTCGGTCGACCCGTACGTGTATCAACAAAGTTGCAAGGCGAGGCAGAATTCGTAACTCGGTTTAAATTTTCCAACAAAATTGCGTTCATAACCCAAAATATTCGTAAAGAGGAACGTTCGTATCCCGAGGGTCCACTGTATTGTCTTCTGAGCTTGGTGCTTTTGTTTGATAATTACATTCTCCATCATAGCTTGTCTGTCTACCACAATGAAATCACAAGAAGTTAATATATCTTGAGAAAATATTGAAGCCAGGAGAAATATGGGAGCCGGTCGGCCGAGCGGACAGCACGCTGGACTTGATCCTGTGGTCCTGGGTTCGATCCCAGGCGCTGGCGAGAAACAATGGGCAGAGTTTCTTTCACTCTATGCCCCTGTTACCTAGCAGCAAAATAGGTACAGTACCTGGGTGTTAGTCAGCTGTCACGGGCTGCTTCCTGGGGGTGGAGGCCTGGTCGAGGACCGGGCCGCGGGGACACTAAAGCCCTGAAATCATCTCAAGATAACCTCAAGAAGGCACATGATGGGTTAAACTTGCATCCCTTACTTCATGTAAGTCATGAAGTTGTTCTTGTTGAGAGACTTTTACCCCATCATAATTCTCTTGGCAGCTTGTCCTATTTTCTTTTGTTATTTGAGAATATTGCTTGGATGTTAAAGATTGTAAGTGGCATCAAATTAAATATTTTAATTGCCATATTTACCTTTATTTACTTAAGAGCCACTAACGCTAGTGGCCTCAATGAGGACAGGAAGCTGGCAGCTTGTTGAATGCCACCCCTCCCCAATTTGACTTGATGAACACTGCACCTTAGACTCTTCCTTAAAGGAAATCATTTAAGGAAGCACCTTCAAAGTTGCTATTTTCACTTCATAAGATGTAATATGTTATGTTTTTATTATTTCAAATGATAAAATAGACTATTGGACAACTTTTTGACAGCAATTTCCCATAGAAAGAAACCATTGTTAAACGTAATGAAATGCCTCTTTTTTATGGGTTCTCAGTGGCTCCCTTTTGCTAGCTACCTGGATAACTCCAATCACAGGAGCTTGTGAGTCATTGTGAATCATTGTAAGTCTTCCAGGGATCAGAGGCCTAAACCTGGCCCACTTTAAAGAGGCACAGCGAGCAAGAGGATACTAGATCACTCAGATCAAGAAAAGGTCACCAGAAAAGTAGTGCGAGATGAAATGGACAACAGTAAGGTAAAAGAAACCTAAAAAATTTGTCCCCAAAACCTTCCACCTAGTCATTGAATCAGCCCCTTCCACTTAAGGTTTCCCAATGTCAGCAGTCAGTTTAAGGTTGTTCTCCTAAGATCTTCACTAGCTGGGGGATCCAAAACAGAAAACGGGAGAGTACGTCACTTTCGCGAGCCACTTCATTTTCCAGTACAACAATTTTTGGCCTTATGTAATGCATACACGTGAAAAGCGTCTTTGTTCATAGGAGGACAGGCTGCGTTGAATGATTTACTAGCTGCTAGTAGCAGCTGCATGCCTCTAGATGGCCATGCACCCACCTACTGGACCTGCCCCACTTGACACATCAGTCATTGAACCTGAAAGATGGAGCACTGAAATCCTTGAAAGGGGGGGATGGGAGGGGTCCAAGGAGCCACCAAGGTCCCACCAGAAAGAGGCATTTCCTTGCATTCAATGCTGAATTTCTAGGACTCGTATGGTGGCTCCCTATTGCTATCTCATCATGGAGAACAAAAGCAGAATTGGAACTTGCCAGATGTGGAGGAGAGCCTCAGAAGTAATCCCAAGAAGGAGGGGGAATCAACAATGAGTTTCATAACCTGGAACCACACAAGCCCAGCATGGATCAGGAACATTCACAAGGTACCGAGCCGCTAGCACTCCGTTGGACTGAGAAAACCATCGCGCTGGAATATAGGCCATTGACATGTTCGAGAAAATCTTGCACATAGCCGCAAACTTGTGAATAGCACGGCCCTTAAGGTAGACTGCAGGCTGGCTAAACTTAATGACACTACTTATGACCTGATCCAAACGTGTTTCATAACACAGGACTAGGGGACGCTTGAGTCTACAAACAAAGCATCTCCCGACACACCACTCGCAGCACAAAGGTACAGTAATGGCCTCAAACGGACACTAGCTTCAAAGTGTTGTACAACAAAAAGTACTGTCTCCACTCGATCATCCGGACTATATGGGAAGGACCCCCAGCCGGATTATCACATTTTTCGGATAATGGTACTTTTTCACCTACGAGTCCAAAAGTGACCATTTCCAACTATTTTTATACTACAAACAACATAATTTGAATTGCCTTGCCACATATAATTATTAAACATTCAACTAGAAACCTCAACTTACCGTGTTGGTGTTCGTCTTCTTGATTGATGCCACACATCTTGAAGTTAAAAATTCTTAACAATTTAAGTAACCTATACTAACACAACACTAAAATTAACACTTAAAATTACTGTACAGTTCATTAAGCTAAGTTAGTTTTGACTGCCAGCTGCTGAAGCCTCACTGGTTAAAGGCATTTGGGTTGCCTGTGAGGCCTCACTTGTTGAAGGCGCTTGCTTGCACCTCACTTGTTGAAGGCGCTTGCTTGCACCTCACTTGTTGAAGCGCTTGCATGCCCTCACTTGTTGAAGGCACTTGGCTTGCCTGTGACGCCTCACTTGTTAAAGGCACTTGCTTGCGCCTCACTTGTTGAAGGCGCTTGGCTTGCCTGTGGTGCCTCACTTGTTGAAAGCGCTTGGCTTGCCTGTAATGCCTCACTTGTTGGAGCTTGGCTTGCCTGTGGCGTCTCACTTGTTGAAGGCGCTTGGCTGCCTGTGACGCCTCACTGGTTGAACAACACGTAACTTGTCTTTAATTGCTAGGACAATCTTCTTCCTCTTAACACTTCCAGAACGATTGATGCTGCTACCAGACATAGTCTTGGCCAAAAATGTTCAAAGTTACTATGAAAATAAAAAAGTTATTTAAAAAAATATTTCACTAATGGCGCAGCACTGTGTATAACACGAGGGACGGACGCACATGGGTTGACCAGTGTTGGACGGGTCCACTTGGGGTGGGGCAGCTATAGCACGTTACGTAGGCCGCCAGGAGGAAAATAATTCACAATATTTTTGAAGGAAACTTTAGCCTGTGCACAATGCTTTTAGGAAACTTATTTATTTGTTATTACATAATTACTAGTACTTATTTCATTTGTTTTTGGCTATGATTAATTGTTCTAAAATTAATGGTATTTCCTGTACCCAGGTGGTCCCTCCCAACACCACCCACCCACCCCACCCCCTCCTCCACAGTGCGTCTAGAGCCACAGATGGGATTAATACGGTATGGCCGTATTTTCATCCAGCCAAACCAGCTTTTATCCGGTTCCTGTGGCCATTTTGGCCGGATATTGTGATAACTTTATCCGGTCACGATTTTGACCATATAAGGGCGTTTTCCGAATGTTTGAATCCCGGATAATCGCGGGGTTACTACTGGGAAAACGGGACATCATGAGTGTAACTCTCATCCTGCAACTACACTTAGGTAATAACTTTAGGTAATTACAACAAATGATGGACCCCTCACTGAACCAACCTAGCATCAATCACCAAAGGACCTGCCTGGAAACAGGCTGTCTCATTCTGAGCCAGAAAAGGTGCATGCTGTTAACAAAGAAAATGACCTAGACCAAAATAACAAAAACATTGCCACAGGAGATGAGCATAAAACTCTTCAACTCTTGCCTGAAGCAAGAGCAAACAAAAACAGTGCTTTGCAAAAATAATCCTGGACTGAAAGGATAATGGA